GGGAGGAAGCAACTTACCCTCCCTCTTCTCCTTTCTCCTCCTGGCTGAATGAGGGCTGGAAATGGGGCGGCCGGAAGCAGGGGGCATGGCTTCGTCATGTGCCCCGCCCCCTGCACCTCACCCGGGGGAACTGCGTTCCCCCCCGAAATGACCTCTGCGTGTGACTGTCCCAAAGTCACTCGGCATGCTTCCAAGGCAGAATAGGGATTTGAACCTAAGGTCTCCCCGATCCTAGTCTACAGACACAGTCACACAAGTACACATAGATGTATGGTGTTGTGTTGGTTCAAATAACTGGCCCAGTATTTCCAGCCATCTGCTGAGGCAGCATTAATTGATGAGAGGTCATCAGACTAAAAGGTTGGCATCCTTTTCAGGTTCTGCTCTACTCCTTGGACTTTATTCAGGGTTACCTAATGGCTCAGCTCATAGCTTTTATAAACCCATTAGTTGATTGCTTTCCTTTCTATGCAGGTTAATTGGTTCATTTTAAAGGCTACGCACATGATCTAAACAGTGCTGAACACGTTTAAGCCCCACTGTGTAAATAGAAGAGATTGCAGTAAATGCTTCTTGGTCCAATTAGAGAGACATAACAGCTCGAAAGCTGTCCTCTTGATTTTAACGACTATAGACCTCAGCCTATTTTGCTCTAGCCCAGCAGGGCTTAATTGTGACAGTCCTGAGGAAAGCAACCAAGAGATCAGGAGTTAGAAGTCACAGGCAGCTTCCATATGAGACAGCAGCGTGCCCCCACATTTAAAGAGAGCTTCTGCATGATGTTGTGTTCACTGTGAGCATGACTCGTGGGCTTCCTGGAGGTTCCCCTGAAAGGGGGAGGGGTGGAGGCAGCAGTGGGCACTGTGGAGATGGGGCATCTGGGTGCTGTTTCCGCTGGCTTCCACACCGTTCCCAGTGGGGGCAGATTTTCACATCATGTGGAAGCAGCCATGATTAACTTTCAATGGAACTTCATCACAGCCAAATTTAGCTGGGCATGGGGGGACCCTGGGCAATCTTTGACGGATTGTGCTTTATCTCTGTCTGTGTCCTCAGACTTCATTTCCTGATTATGGAAAAGTATAGAAAGTATGTATTTTAACAAACGATAAGCAGGAGGAAACATGTCTCTGTGTGTGCAAAAATAATTCACACACACCCCGATTCGGGTCCATTGGACCCAAAAAATATTGGTATTCCCGAATATTCCCAAATATTTTCAGTTACTTATTTAGCCGAATACAGATTAGACAATCTGATTCGGCTACCGAAATAGCCACACCCGATTAAGTGCCAATATTATTTGGCTTTTATTCGGGCACGGCTAGAAGGCATTTAAACTTTAAAAAGCACCCACAAGCAGGCAGTGGAAGGGTGTGAATGCAGGCATCAGAGGAGATGTGTGAGTTGGGAGTTAACAGCAGTGAGTCCTGCCAGAATACATGGGTCCTGGCTGCTGCCCCACTTCAGGGTATACTGATGCTCGTCCTATCTTGTTTTGCTGTGGCTGAGACAGTTTCTTTGGGTATTTCTTTGTTTTGTCAGGAGTATTTCTTTGCTTGGCCACTCTAGTAGGAGGTTGGGTGGGTATAAAAAGGCATAAAAAATAAAATATGCTAGTGTTGGCTTTGGGACACAGACCCACCATCCCCTATGAGCCCAAGGGGCTGGAAATGTTCTAACAGCCATTTATGTCACACCAAGTGTGCCAGTGTTTCTTGAAAATCCTATTGTGATGTCCTTTCGGGGATTTGTGCAATGTCATGCTTATGATGTCGCTTAGTATGTTGTTTCAACATCTCATTATCTCTGTCGCAAATTGCTAACAATAGCTCTGACAGAAGAGTTTAGATCTTCCCATGAAGAATGAATGCAACTATTATGGTGTACAGTAAAGAAGATGAATGGATACTTTGCAGGGGAAAGGGGAAAGCAATGCTGATAAGAAGTATCGATTCCAACAGCCCTGAAAACTTGGCATCACAGATAAATCCATTAGTCTTTCACATCACCTCCTACCTGATCCTTTTAACTGGCGACACCAGGGATTGAGCTTGGGACCTTCTGCATGCCAAGCAGATGTTCTATTACTGAGACATGACTCCGCCATGGAATATATCTCTTGCCAAGGCATACATATGAACGGAACTTTCAGTTTAATAACATTTTTAACAAAGAAGTTTAAAAGTTCTCTTGTGTGCTGTTCTTTTCCTCCCAGTGTTATAAAAAACAAGTTACCTTTTGAAGATTTTGATGGAGATAAATTTAGTACCTTTCCGGTAAGTACTGGTCATGTTTTTTATCCCACTGCTTCTCCAAGGTACTGAAGGCAGCTTATTTTATCCAAAAAATAACTCTGTGAGTTGGTTGGGCTCAGAGATAAGGACCGGCCCAAACAACCAGTGAATTCAGGATTGTGTGGGGATTTAAACCCACATCTCCCTAGTTCGACAGTAACCTGCTACACCGCAGTAAAGCCATATGAGCTTTTGATAAGAAGATTCTCCCAAGAATCCTTTCCAGAATGTACAAAGTCTCTTCCTTTGTGAACAGCCAAAGGTTTATTATTTTGAAATACTGTCTCCTTTATGGTCAGGAAAAAAATAATCATTCCTTTATATCTTTTCTGGAGATGTGGCTATGAAGTTACGTTGCCTGTAGAAGCAAATTGCTCTGCCAAAGAGTGTCATGTTTATTGAAATATTAATAAAAGGTGAAGCAAAGCTATCTGAAAAAAATATTAAAATTGCCAGCATGTCTTATTTCTGCATTAAAATGAGAAGTGTGTCATTTTTTCTAAAGACAGCTGGGAGAGAGATGGTTGATTTACCAGCCCTGATTCTTCTCCTTGAGTTAGATTCTTATTTTAGATGTTTGAAAGTAGCAGGGGTAAAAATAACAATGAACATTCTATTCTGTCTGTGCTGCTCTCTACTGTTTAGACCTTGAGAGGATATCATTGGCGAGGCAGGGACTGCGACGATGGAATGGCCTCCGTGTATCCGGGGAGACGGTAATTTGGATGATTTCATCTCTTTTGGTTCAAACAATCCCTCTGTTTAGAAGAACTCACTTTATATTCAAAGAGAATAAAATCCTGAAAGTTTTCGATATTGCAGTACAACTTCATTTATCCTACCAGCTGGGGGTGGGAGGATTTCCGAATGACTGTCCTGATCAGTGGTTTACAGATGATGGGACTTATGTACACTGTCAGGACATTTCCTAGCAGAACAAGAACTATATCTCACGTTAGGTCTTGCTTTTTTCACAAGCATTTTTTCTGAGAGAGAGAGAGAGAGAGAGGCGACCTTGTATCTAAAACTTCTTAAATTTGTAGCAAGTCTATACCGTCAATGCTCTGACCTCAGGGGCGGATTAAGGCTCACTGGTGCCCTAAGCACTGACCAGTCTTGGTGCCCCCCTCCTTTCCACACTGACCCAGTCCATTTTAGTTGTTGACCTGTCTGACCAGATATATACAATGCAGGTTGCAGCAATACAAAAGTTTATTCATATGATAACACAATATACTGTACAAACTAAGCTTTTCACCCTTTCCCCAACTTTGTGGTGCCCCCTTTGGCCCTGGTGCCCTAAGCACGTGCTTAGTCTGCTTAATGGTTAATGGTTAATGTGCCCCTGTCTGACTCTACACTGCTTAATGGTTAATGGTTAATGTGCCCCTGTCTGACTCACAGGGGCCACTTCCACACTGTCATTTTTGTTGCTCATTTGTCCCTGTTGCTTCAGGGTCCATCCCCCACCCCCAGTGTGTTTTGCTCTCTTTAGTAGACTCAGAGGGAGCAAAACACATGTGCAAAGGGGGGGGGACCCAAAGCAATAGGGACAAATGAGTGACAGAAATTACAGTGCAAAAGTGGCCTGGGGTTGCCTTGAAAAGTCTACAGGGTTGCCATAAGTCAGCTGCGACTTGATGGCACTTTCTACCACCAGACCATCAATCTCTCTCGTTTCCAAACCTCCCTACATTTTTCAACATGCCAAATAGCTTCTGTTTTCTGACAGTAGCAGATAAAAATGCTTTGTCCCCCTTGCTCATTTCTGAGGTGTTTCTTCATGTTTTACGGGATCACTTCGGGTGCTCCAGTAATCTCTATGATTGTGTTTGTTCACAATTCTGACCTTCTAGCAAAACGTCTGATAGGTGGCTTCCCTTTCTTCTCTTCTTTGCTCCTGGGTGTTTCTGTTTGCCCATGTGATAGTGCCTGTCATTCACGTCTGCCTTATCATCTTTGGGATGATAACGATCAGTCAGTTTCGTGCCTCTGTCAGTTCCTGCAAAATCTGACCATTTTATTTTTTCCAGAGTATGGTTTTCTAAGTGCTGTATTTCTGAATCCTCTCTGTCAAGAAGGGCTGAGTTATTGCAGACCTATGGCCAGACCAATGGCCTCTCCCCCTTTTCCTGTCTCCTCTCCTTCCCATCCACCAGCCAGCCTACTATTATCTTCTCCCCATCTTCAGTTTTTCCACCAACCCTGCCCCTGGCACCCTCTCCCTCTGTCCGAGAAAACTTTGGCATGATGTGGGTTGCCAGGGCAGGCCCAGTCGCACAGTGGGGAACCTGCGAAGACTTGCAAAAGGCATCTATTTCCCCCTCTTAGGCCGTGGTCACACAGTCATTTTGATCAGGTTTCACCGCTGTTCCCTCTCGCATTTAAAATATCTGATCAGATGCCCGCATCCATCTCCCGCACCGAAGTGGGGTCACTCGCAGTTCCCTAGTGAGTTTTCCTACACTTGGAAAATCAAGTACTTTCTGGATATTTGCTCTTTGAATCCACGATTTCGCAGATCTGGACAGCCATCTCTCACAATGATTGCAATTAGGTCATCTGAACGTCCTTCTCGCGATTCCCCCACCCCAAGATTCCGTCGTCGTGTGCATGAGCAATCCTGTGCTGAATAAATTCAATTTATAAGCATTCAAGTGCACATATAGACTCAGTGCTCAGTTGTAGGTCACCGGTTATTTTGTTCACTGTTCGGGGGGGGGGGAACCTGCAAAAACAAGGAAGTATGGTGAGTCCCAGTGGGAGCGGTGATTTGGTCATGTGTATACGCATGCTCAAAGTGGCTGTCTGGATGGTGCCCAGAGCCTCATCGTGCGATGCAAGCAGTTTGGGGAGGGATGTGTGATCATCCCAACCTGAAAAAAAATATTCCCAATCAAATCTATAGTGGGAACAAATCGGGATAAGCTTGCCCCCACACTATTACCTTTTTTCCTCCAGCTAACAACCACCATATTCTCAACCATCTCTGCTTCTTTCTGTCTTTCCTACCTAACTAACTTTTACTTGTTCCCCCAATCTCTTCCTCCTCCACCTCCTCTTCTTCCTTTATGTGTCCCTCTGTTTTTATCTCTTTCTCAGTCTCTTACTTACTATCACTTTCTTTTTCTCTCTTTCTGCCTCCCCCACTCCATTACTCTTTTTTCTCTCTTTCTTCCTCCCCACCCATTAACCTTTCTTTCTTTCATTTTTTCTTTCTTCCCCCCATTACTGTCTCTTACTCTCCTTCCACCCATCAGTTGCTTGGATCCTGTCCCCTGCTCAATCATCCCTGACTCACGGTGCCTGTCTGCAGCCATAGGGAGGGGTGCTGTCATAAGTCAGCCAGGGATCAGCGAAAGCAAAAACTCCTCAGGAGAAGAGGAGCCCCATGTAGTCAGCCTCGAGTTAACAGAAGCTGACCAGCAGGAAAATGAGCTGCAGGCTTGTCAGGATTCACAGCCAACAGCTGGCATAGAGCCACCAACACCCTCCAGTCCTGATTCAGCAGGTGAACCTCAGTTGGCCATTCCCAGCCCACCAATATCACCTACACCCATAGAGCACCACAGATGGAGGCTGAGAACAGAGCTACAGACAAGGCAGAAAAGTGAATGCCTCCTGGCCCAATGCCAACTGCTTGGTGATAACAAAGATGAGCAGTTGCAGGATTGCTTCTGAGTAACTGGTTGCAAGCATGACCCTTAGGTGTGGGGTTATAAAACCAGCCAAGAGAGGCTGTTAGGCGTGGATGCAATGTGTGCAATAGACACTAAACCACGAACTCTGCCTTCCCTGACTTCTGGCCCCCCAACTTTGGACTGAAGGACTCTGTTTTGCCTGACTTCTGGCACCTGGCCAGTAAAGGTGCTTTCCCTAGCCTGCACTTCCTGAGTGAAGCATTGGGAGGGTGGAGTATGGGAAGGAAGCGACCTCAGCAGGATATAATGTCATAGAGTTCACCCTCCAAAGCAGCCATTTTTTCCAAAGCAACTGATTTATGTCAGCTGGAGATGAGTTGTGATTCCGGATAATCCGCAATTCTCACCTGGAGGTTGGCAATTCTAGTTCCCCTGGAAGAAATGGCATCTTTGGAGGGTGGAGTCTATGCCCCCCAACTCTTTAGAAATTTCCTGTGGAGTTGGCAACCCTATCTCCTTCCTACCCAACAGCCAACCTACCTTTATCTTTTTTAGTATTTATTTATTAATTAAAATTTAAAATTTAAAGTATAATCAATAGCTATGAGTCGAAACAACAGCAATACACTGGGCCAGGCCCACTTGTATGGTAAGGAACCTTCAAGGACTTGTGAGGGTGCTTCACTTTCCCCTGTATCCCCCTCCCCACACTATTTCCTCTCCCCACTGGCAACCCCCCATATCCTCTCCCCTTCACGTTCCTTATTCTCTCCTTCTCAGCCGTTCACCAACCTACCTTTTATCTGCCTCCCATCTTCAGCTATATTTATAATTTATTTCATTTATACCCCAACTTTCTCCACAGTGAGGACCAAAGCATCCAGTGAGCTTTCACAGCCAGATGGGGGTTCAAGTGCGGGTCTCCCAGACCCTGCTCTGAAGCTGTAACTGCTACACCACACTGCCTTTCATAGAGTGGCTGCTGTTGAACTGTAGCAAGCAGCCAAGCCTAGTTGAGTCCTGGAAGTTGGGTGGTATCAAGTCACCCAGAGGTTGCTTCCAGGCCTAGGATTGCCAGCCTCCATGTGGGACCTGCAGATCTCCCAGAATTACAATTGAACTCCAGACTATAGAGATTGTTGCTCTGGAGGAAACGACTGCTTTGGAGGGTGGACTCTATAGCATTGTATTCACTTGAGGCATCTCCCCTCCCCAAACACTGCCCTCCTCAAATTCCACCACAAAATCTCAACGAATCTCCCAACTTGGAACTGACAACCCTAGCCAGGCCTGGCCCTGATGAGTCCTCCCTCAAAAGTCCAAATAGGCCTGGAAAGGGCCCTGCTCTCTCCCCCTGCCCTTTCCCCCACATAAACCCATCTTGGAGTACTGTGGTTGCTTAGCAACAGCCACTGAGGGAATCTGTTGCTTAAAGCTACAAGCACTCCTTTTATAATTTCTGGATTTTTTAAAACACCCAATGTATTTCTTTTATTTCAGTTATTTTTTCCCCCAAACCTGGGGTCCTTTTCAGGTTTGTAGAAAGATCTGTTTTGCCTATTCACAGTTCCAGTCATTGGATTTAAGTATCCAGAGATAGGTCAACTTCACTATTAGAATATAAGATCTATGATATTACAGGGAATAAGGCTGTGTGGTAGGATCCAAAACCACACTGGGAAAGTTTGTGGGGGAGGGGAGAGAGTAACTAGTGCCTTACAATCCAGTTCCATACAGAGTTACTCCAAGCTAGATGTTGGCTTCCCCTGTTGGCTAAATAGTATCACTCCACCAACCGTTTCACATCAGGAAAATAGTACAGAGGGAAGTCTGAAACCCCTTCTCCACACTTCAAAGATTCTGGTCCTACTTGGCTACCTTGTGTACCAGGATTAAGAACCTATAACTGATGTCACCACAATTTAAACTGGATAATCTGTAATGCATGAATCAGCAATAAGACTAATTGTCAGTCCTAGCTGTAATTGCAGACTGTGGTTATTACCCAACACTGCAGACACCTTGCGCAAATGGAATCAAATTAGATTTCCTTTGGACCTACCCCAGATTAAGTAAGTGTATAGTAAATTTGTAAACAGTTTTTTTTTAAAGATTTTGAGAATTTGCAGGTGGGTTCATTTCAAAGCAACATGCATGAACACCTCATTCATTTAGTCACATGTCTAAGCTGTGCTTTGGAAAGGGACAGAATGTTATCTCTTCACTTGACCCCAACGGTTGCAGTTCTTTGCCTTCCTGAAATCGAGGAGAGACAGCCTTGGTTTCTACAATCTGTGTAAAGTAGAAATAATAGGAGAAGAGTCACCCTGGCCCAGAACTAGGGGTGTGCAGAGTCCCTACATGTGTTGGTTGCAGAGGTCGATTCCCATTCACATTGACAGAATCAACTGGCAGCTTCACATGCATGCATCGCTTTTGTACGCATGTACAACCAAATGTTGAACCAAATGTGGTGGTCTGCATATACAAGATAGTTCTAGGTTGTGCCTCAGAGCCTTGATGTCCTTTGCAAACAACTGTATTGTGGCGACTGTATACATTTTTTAATACCAGCAGATAATCCTATATCTATCCTGAAAAATGTGGAACACAGATATGTTGCTGTATACCATATACTTTTGCTTTCACGTGAAAACCAGATCAAAATGCCTGTTAGTTTCTACAAAGCTGCTTTAATTTCCTTTCCAGCACCCTTCTCTTCTTCTTCAGCCCTGATAGTCGGGATGCTCAATGCTAATGAGTTATGCTAATGAGTCCCCCTAGCTCTTTTTCTACGAAACGACCCCTGGTTGGTTGTCCCATTCACATTGACAGAATCAGCTGGTAGCTTCACATGCATGCATCGCTTTTGTACGCATGTATTTGTCTCCCTGTTGAACCAAATGTGGTGGTCTGCATATACAAGATAGTTCTAGGTTGTGCCTCAGAGCCTTGGATGCCCTTTGCAAACAACTGTATTGTGCCGACTGTATTTTTTAATACCAGCAGGTAATCCTATATCTATCCTGAAAAATGTGGAACACAGATATGTTGCTGTATACCATATACTTTTGCTTTCACGTGAAAACCAGATCAAAATGCCTGTTAGTTTCTACAAAGCTGCTTTAATTTCCTTTCCAACACCCTTCTCTTCTTCTTCAGCCCTGATAATTGGGATGCTCAGCAGGATTCTAACTGTAATGGCATATGGGTGAGTTGTTGAATGTTATAGCGCGACATTTCTCTCTCATATATTCTCTCCTCGTTTTGAAATCTGCTTATGAGTTTTTTATTTCAAGGACTTTTTCCAAAAAGAGTGTGTGTCTCTGTGATGCCCAGCTTTGCCAGGAGCAGAAGCCACTGCCCTGACTGGTGTACCTGGCTGGTATACCAAAGTCACAGCCAGAAGAAGAAAGTGGCCTCTCCCCACCACCACCACCACAGGGCTGGCTGGGAAGGAAATGGTTAGGACACACTGGCACAATGGCCCAGCGGGGTGGGTGTGGCTGGATACCACATGCCTGGGGAGGGGCTGGTTGACTGGGGAGAGGGCCCCAGGTGGAGCAGAGGATATTAGATATGAGGCTAGTTCATCAGTTGTGGCTTTTGGGAGGAAGCTGACTGAGCCCCAGTCGCACATCCCTCGGTATTACTCCCAGGCTTGACTACTGTAACCCATTCTACATGGGACTACTCTTGAAGCTGTCTGGAAACTTCCATGGGCTCAAAATGAGGCAGCTAGGGTTGGTTCTTAAGGCTCTCGATGGCATGACCATATTTAGCCAGTGTTAGGCCATCTACACTTCCTTCCAGTCTTTTTCAGTGCTCAGTACAAGGTGTTAGTTTTTGAACTTTAGAGCCCTAAATGGCTTTGGCCCAAAATACACAAAGGACTTCCTCCAGTCATATCAATCAGTCAGTCAGTCAGTCAGTCAGTCAGTCAGTCAGTCAATTTGAGGTCAATGCAGAGTCCATTCTTCCAGAAATTAGCTATGACGACCTAGCCCACTTCCCTCCCTCAGAGATATGATTTTCCCACTGTTTTTCTCTCCCTTTTTGTCTGAGCAGCACTATTTATTTATTTTCTTCTTTTCAGAAGAACTGTGGCTGTTTCACCCTGTCATGGTATGAAATTCTGCTACTGGCTCAGCCCAGGAATCTGAGGGAAGGGTTGAGATCCTCCTTTAACTTAAACCAGTGAAACGGCACTCAAGGCTTTTTAAACTTCAAAAATAACAAAATATTTTATTCAACATAGAGTGGAGAGGTCAGGTGAAGTCAGGGGTAAAATTTCTGAGGTAAATCAATATAGGCACAGACTGCAGTTCATATGTTTTAAGCAACTGAGAGTTTCTTAAGCTTTTCACAGTGACTTAGAATCTTTGAGATGAGGAGCTTTTCCCCCTAGTGTTTCCTAAACACTCCAGTATACTTTCTTGAGCATATTTGACTCTTTTGGTTTCCAGAAGTCAGGGATACGCTGTCCAGTACCCTAACTCCTTAACTAAACACAGCAGTATTCGTCTTAAGTTTTAACTGACTCCTCAGGATTTTAAAGGCAGTTTCTAAAAACACCAGACCAAGGATCTCTCCACTCTTCAGAGCTATTTCCCTGTTTTAACTGGGTAGGGAAATTCTTCTCTCACTAGAAGATCTATCCCTTTTCTGGCCTGAATGGAAGTCTTCACCTAACTACCCACTCCTTCTGCCAACCTTCCCCCAATACTCCATCTGTGTTGCACTGCTCTCAGTGAGGGCCAAATGCAAACCTTTCAGTACTAAACCTTTCTCTGTCAGGGCTGAATTCAGACTGCCCTCTCAGCATTCAGCACTCAAGCCTTTCTCTGGTCAACTGATGCTAACCATTTAGATATCTTAGAGCAGCCTGTCACTCAAGGGTGTCGGGCTTTGTGAGGAATTAACCCCTCACGGTCCATACCTGTTTACACAGCACTTCTGAGCTTCTAAAAGTGCAGTCTGTTACACTAGCCTTTGCAGAGTTTCAGCCAGTGGAAACCCAGAGAAAGGCTTTTTTTCTGCTATTGTCCTCTGAGTCTAGAACTCCCCAATACTGAATTTGAGAATGGCTGCTTCCCTCAAGGTCTTCTGGATGGGTCTGAAGACCTGCCTTTTCTGGAAGGACTTTTGAGTTAGGTCTATAAGAATTGGTGTGGCAAGGAAATGGCACTGAAGGAATATTATATTTTATTGGTTCTGTTGTATTTTATTAATTTCTATTACATTTGATTCATTTTACTATTTTAAGCTGAGCTTTTCTTGTATCTCAATGGCCTTTTATTGATTTCCTTGTATTTTACTGAGCTATAAACCACAGTTGGGACTTTTAGTGAAACAATGATATAAACTAACTAAAAATATGAAAGTGCTTTATGTTGAGTACTGTGGTTCCCAACCTGTGGGCGGAGGATCCCTGGAAGCCACAGAGTTATTGTAAAGGATGCACAAATCCATACAGCTTGGGCAGGTTCCTGCCTTCCCCTACCTGTGCTCACCTCCATGGTGGCCATCCCCCCCCCACTGCTCTGTACTGGGGCAGCTGCAGTTCCGTAGCCAGAATTTTTTTCACTAAAAGAGCCAGTTTGGTGTAGCGGTTAAGTGCGCGGACTCTAATCTGGGAGAACCGGGTTTGATTCCCCACTCCTCCACTTGCACCTGGCTGGATGACCTTGGACAAGCCATAGTTCTGATAAGAGCTTTTCTTGAAAAAAGGGCAGTTTCTGTCAGAGCTCTCTCAGCCCCACCTACCGCACAAGGTGTCTGTTGTGGGGAGGGGGAGGGAAAGGAGTTTGTAAGCTGCTCTGAGACACCTTTGGGTAGTGAAGGGCGGGGTATAAATCCAATCTCTTCTTCTTCTTCTTCTTCTTCTTTGTTGGGAGGGCAATTTTTTGTTAAGAGGGCAGTTTAGCACAGTGGAGAGCAGCCCATTATGTGTCTGTACAGAACTATCATGCTTATATTTCTAAAGAATAAAGCTCTGTGGTATACCACACAAAAATGTTTCAGGTTTATTACAAAGATATTTACATGTAGAACATATTGATTAACTAGTAACAGACAACACACATTTTCAAACTGTTCAGCTCTGAAGTTTAACAAGATGTGGTATAAGAGGTGCTGTGCAGGCTAAATTGGGTTAGACCACATAAAAGAGATTTTACACTGCACCAAGAGCTATTGGGACAGAAAACCTAGTAATGGCTGTTCTTCCACTCAGCAAATGTGTAACCATAGTTCTTGACCTAAGAGACCCAGGTTCAAGTCCCTGCTGGCATTTCCAGCCTCACCTACTTCTCATGAAAGCTCATAGCCTGCCATGTATTTTGTTAGTCTTTAAGGAGTCCCTGGACACTTGCTCCAGTTTGGTGCAGTGGTTAAGTGTGCGGACTCTAATCTGGGAGAACCGGGTTTGATTCCCCCACTCCTCCACTTGCACCTGGCTGGATGATCTTGGGCAAGCCATAGTTCTGGCACAGCTGTTCTTGAAAAAAGGGCAGTTTCTGTCAGAGCTCTCTCAGCCCCACCCACCTCACAGGGTGTCTGTTGTGTGGGGAAAGGAGTTTGTAAGCCGCTCTGAGACTCCAAGTGAAGGGCAGAGCATAAATCCAGTCTCTTCTTCTTCTTCTTCTTTCTACAGCTACAGACAGACTAACATGGCTATGCATCTTGATCTATTTCACAGGATGCTTGTTGTAATCTAGTAGCTCTTTGTGCAACCTGAAGTCTGTTTGGCGTCATATACTTGAATCCAGTCTGCATCGTCACACCGTCTCCATTCCACCTGTTTGGTTTTATAAATCTCAGTGAGTCGAGCAGAATATAAATAAATTAAAATATGTTTCCTAGACACACAGCTCAGTGAGACAAGCTGACCATAAACGAACCAGTACCTCTGCATAGTTCAGTGAGACAAATGGACCATAAATGGCAAATAATGATTAACATCAACCATAGATTCTCTAAACTTTGAATGCCTGCACCTTTCCACTTGGGACTGACACAGCTCCTGTGGTCTTTTCTTCCCTCCTAAAGCCCACTGGTGTTTCCATTGTTTCCCCGTTCCTCATCTGGCCAATTGTTGCTCCTGGACGGTTTGCTAGCAGCCGTCCTGGACTGCAGAGGGGCCAAATGTTCTAGCCAAATTTGCCTTAGCGGAGTACAGATTGATTCACTGTCCTTCCAAGCCATCCCTGGGCAGCTGGGACTGAGCACCCAGGAAACAGCACTGAGAGGAGGGAGGTGGAAGAATTCATTTGTGTAGCTTGCATGGACTCCCCCACCCCCATCTTCCAGCCTGGCTGGGTAAAAAGCTTTGCAAGAGCACACAGGCGCTAACAGATGCTAACAGCTTTCTGATGCTCTTTCCTTGCTGGCTTTGTAGCATCTTCTCCCAGGAGAGCAAGAAGCAGAGGAGAGAGATGAAAGAAATCAGAGGGATGCCAGTCACTTTCAGGGGTTGATTGACAGCAGGGCAGTTTAAACTGATAGTGGTATAAAAGGTGGGGAATTCATCCCCCCCCCAAAAAAAACCCCCTGCCTTTAGGTTCTCTCAAAGCTTTAAATGCCTTTAAATGAACCCCAAAGGCAAGGCAGGCACTTAAAGGGACTGTCCTTTTAAATGCCTACCTTCTCCAAGCCACACATCTCTGTGGTGATGCCTTTGGAGCTCACACTTGTTGTGGAGACATGTGGCTTGGAGAAGGCAGGCACTTAAAGGGACAGTCCCTTTAAGTGCCTACCTTGCCTTCAGTGTGAATGCCAAGCCATGCCACTGGGAAGAGAAAGCTATCTATTGGGTGCGCTGGACTGTTCCACTTATGGATGGGGGAGGGAGCTGTTTGGTGAGGGGACAGGGTACATTCAGGATGAAGTGTCACCCTTGTGGCCATGGGCCACATCTGCCAAGAAGAAGAAGAGAAGAAGAGATTGGCTTTATACCCCACCCTTCACTACCAAATGAGTCTCAGAGCGGCTTACAATCCCCTTCCCTTCCCCTCCCCACAACAGACACCCTGTGAGGTAGGTGAGGCTCAGAGAACTACCCTTGAGAGAACAGCTCTGAGAGAACTTGTAACTGACGCAAGGTCACACCAGCAGCTGCAAGTGGAGGAGTGGGGAATCAAACCCAGTTCTCCCAGATTAGAGTCCGCGCACTTAACCACTACACCAAACTGGCCAACCTCCAGGCGGCATGTAGGCATCTCCTGCTACGATGATTGAGAAAATGGCTGCTGTGGAGGGTGGTTTCTATGGCATTGTACTCTGCTGAGATCCCGCCACTCCCCAACCCCACCTTCCCCGGGCTCCACCTGCAAAATCTCCAAGAATCCGCCCTCTAAAGCACCCTCTACGGCCATGGGGGGGGGAGTATCCCAGCATCCCTTGAACATGCCTTGGCCAAGTACAACTGAGAATTCTCTCCACAAGGAATTGCACTTTAATCATTATTGTTGTCAGATTCTGATACCTTTGAGCTCCTTTGGAAGCCAACTTACTACTGAAAAGCAGAGTTGAAGTCAAAATAAACAAGCACCCACCAATTGTCCGGTTAAGGACTGAAAGCTCATAGGACATCCAAGTGAATCCCCAAGAGTGCAGACTCACTGCTAACTGTGTTAGCAAAGGGGTCATTCTAGGCAGCTACACTAGTAACTCCAAACTATAAAAATGTGATGCTTTCTTGTACTGTTTCTAGTCACTGGTCTGTACTGTCTGTGCTTCAAACTGCCCCTCCGATCTCTGAAAGCGACAAAACAGCAGCAGCCATCCCATTAAACAACTCAGTATAATAAATAAGCAAACATGCCTTCTGTAGACTGAATAAATAATCTCTCCCACACATACACATATTACTATTTTTCAACTGTATGCAGATACTGTTGTGATTCATACACTACAAATCCATTTAAAAGTATTGGTGAATTCATAGTATCTATCTGTCATGATAGATTTTCTCAATCAATACTAATAGTATAACTGCTATAATGTGGGGATCTATGGATTTCTTGATGTTAAAAGGGGGTCCTCTTACTTGAACAAGTTGGGAACCACTATTCTAGTCCATATGTGTGTGCTTTCCTGTGTGTGCATAAATACCTCCTCTAAGCTGTGGAGTCTTGTGAGCAAAAGTTTTACTTTGTAAGCTACTGGCATTAAAGTTGTGAGTGAGCGATTTGGCTGCTGCATCAATTCGTTTGCTCTGGAGCCGTCCCTTCCTGAGCTGAGACAAAAATGTGTGAGCCGGAGGCTAGAAAACTGTGAGCTAGCTAACACTAACCCAGTTTAGGAGGGAACACTGGTGCGTATGTATGTACGTGTGTGCGTATAAATTGACAAACTAATATTCTCTTCTGTTATATCAGGGTATTGACAGAAAAGATGGCATTCCATATGAACAAAAACTCTGTAATGGTAATTCCTTTTATTTCAAAAAGAGAGCTGAATTTGCAGTACATTTAATTTAGACATGTTTTCTCATAAATGGTCAGATTTTAAATGAATATTTTGTTTGTTTGTGTGTGTGTGTGTGTGTTAGGGTTGCCAAGTCTTACCAACGTAATAGCGGGGGAGTCCAGGGCCCTCTCTGGGACGCCTCTTGCGTGCGCAAAGCGCACGCGTGCCGCGATGACGTAACCCGGAAGTGACATCATCACGCTGGGCATGTCACCAGGTGACACTCTAGCAACCGGCCTGTTTGCTAGATTGCTAGACCGTCACCTGGTGACGTGCCCAGCGTGATGACGTCACTTCCGGGCTACATCATCACGCCGGGCATATTGGCCCAGGCCCAATCTGGCCACTTCAGGGGTGGGGTTCCCCCTGCCAACCGGATCCAGATCGGCGGATTGGGGACCATTTTAGCAAGGGAATCCCCGCTCCCCGGGGAGGACTTGGCAGCCCTAGTGTGTGTGTGCGTGTGTGTGTGTAGAAAAACAAGGGTCACTGCATTCTTGAAATGCTGATGTCCGATAGGGAGGGGGTGGGGTTAGGAGAATGAAATTGTCCCAACTGCACAATGTAGGCTTCCCAAGTCCCCCTGGGGGGCGGGGAAACCCCCGCCCCAGAGGCCCGTTCCCCGCCGCCACCGGATCAGGCCCCGGGGGGAACTCCTCCCCGACGTGCGCGTCACCTGGAAGTGATGCGACCACACTGGGGGCGGGGCCACGGCCATATGAGGGAAAACTCTATGGTTTTCCCTCGTATGGCTGTGGCCCCACCCCCAGCATGCCTGGTGTCATCATGTCACTTCTGGGTGACGTGCATGCAGTGTGCGCGCGCTTTGCGCGCACACACCAGACGCCAGCCGGTAGCCCCCCACTCCCGGCGAAGACCAACTTGGCGACCCTAGCGCAATGTCATTTCCAGTAAATACCCAGAAGGGATGTCACATTGCTGGAATAGCACTCTGGGGTTTTGCTAGAACTCTATGCAGGCCGTAGCCAGCGGTGGGACTTTAGGGGCTCAGTCCCCTATCAAATTGGGAGGGGCCCCAGTGCCAGCCAGCCCCTGGCCATCCCCAGTGCCCGCTACCAAGTCAGCTCTCAGAGAGGCCTCAGAGTGAGACGCCAGGGTGGGCCATTCTCTCATGGCCTGCCCCTGCGCTTCACTGCATCTGCACCAGCCAGCGTGCTGGCTTTCCAAGAGGACAAACTTGCGAGTGGAGTGCATTTATCCACAGGGAACAACATGTCAGTTCTCACGCATGCACATGCTTAGCCCCCTCTTCTAGCAGTACAGTGATATAGCGCATGCACAACAGCAGCAAACTGAAGAGGGGTTGGTACTGCCTATGATATTACCTTCACTCGAAAATCTTATTTTTTTTAAAGGCACGGCTTTAAGAAATTAAACCAATGTGTCAACTGGAAAAATGCAGAGGGAGGGAAGATGTGCAGAACCCCTGTGTGCAATGTGACTTTGGTGCTAGCAGACAGACTGCCAGGAAAAGCAGGAACAAGTGGTGTGTGTCAAAAAAACCTTCTGACTAGATCCTGACTTCGATGGCCCAGACTAGCCTGATCTAGCCAGATCTTGGAAGCTAAGCAAGGCTGGCCCTGGTCAGTATTTGGAAGGGAGACCACCAAGACATACCAGGGCCATAACTCAGAGGCAGGCCATGGCAAACCACCTCTGCAGTCTCTTGCCTTGCAAACCCTGTGGGGTCCCCAGAAGTCAGTTGAGACTTGACAGGGGGGAACAGCAACAGGGATTGTGAAATAATTTTTCAACCCCTGACTTGACGGTGAAAGGATTTCTGGTCTCATTACTCATCTTTGTTAAATTTTTGTTTTATTTTATTTTGTTAAACTAGCAATACATCATCACATAACCATTCCGGTAAATAGGGATACACAACGTTCCTGCAAAGCTGTCTGACTTACCTGCATTATAAGGTCAGATCAAGCAACATTCACTTTTAAAAACTGGATTGTCCTACTGGAGCAGCCCATTTTAAGAAGCGTGAAATTCAGCCCTCATAAACTAAACTGGGAGCAGTGCACTCAATACACCGATTTTACTAAATGCTTTAAATGTGGTTGAAAGTACTAGAGACAATAAAATTTACAGGGCTCCTAGCACAGTCCATATTAAAATAACAAATTGAGCTTTAAAAATTAGCATGCACTTTTTGTAAAACTGATTGTTGCCTCTATTTATTCTGGGTTATTTATAGTGCAAATGGAGCTGAAAATCTTGTTGCGGGCTTGAAAATGAGCAAAAATGGTCAATTCATTATTTTGATTGCCCTCTGCACTGAAAGAGTTGCATGGATTTTCTTAATGTGGTTGGGTCTTGTGTATCACAACTTTGCAGACTGTTTGTGAGAGTTTTAAAATTATTTACGCAATGCCTTCTGTAGGTACAGAGTCCGAGGGAATTGTCCTCTTGGGAGATTCAGCTGGGGCCCACTTCCACATCCCTCCTGAATGGCTAACAGCATCGCAGATTTCATGGGCATGCCGTTTTAATTGCTTAAATTCTGATGATTTGCCTTCTTCGCTATTATAAAGGGTGTTGGATGAAAACCTGGTAATGGTTCATCAGAAAACAATGATCACAGAACAAGAGTGGAGAATGCCTGCCCACGGCAAGCAGGCCTTTGTGCATATTCTACCACTCCCAGCCATGTGTTAGATCCCACCTAAAATTTCCACTTGTACAAGGGGAGAGGGCATTATTTTCATTGATTCCTGTGTCCTGTGGCAGATCGCATTTCACCTTACAGTTTCTCCTCCCAGGAGCAGCATTTTGGGATGCAGGAGGAAGAGGAAGGTGGGAAATTTTAGGCAGGATCCAAACCCATAACTCCTGTTGTAACCAGAGGTCATTTCGGGGGGATCACAGGGGGTCGCAGTTCCCCCGGGTGAGATACGGGGGCGGGGCACATGACGAAGCCCCGCCCCCTGCTTCCGACCGCCCCCCGCCCCTGCTTCCGGCTGCCCTGCTTTCGGCCCTCATTCAGCCAGGAGGAGGCAGGAGAAGAGGGAGGGTAAGTTGCTTCCTCCCTGCCTCTCCCCACCCCTGCCTGCCTGGGGCCAGGGAGGGCCTTCGCGGGGCTTCCTTGCACTCCCGCCGGCCTTGCAAGGCCGGTGGCAGCGGCCGGGACCGTTGGGGGCGGGGTGTGTGGCCTTATGACACACTTCCGGTGATGTCAGGGGGTGTGGCCTTATGACACACTTCCGTTGATGTCAGGGGGTGTGGCATATGCTAATGAGTTGTGCTAATGAGTTCCCCTAGCTCTTTTTCTACAAAACGACCCCTGGTTGTAACTATGGACAGGATTCAAACTCTGGGGGGGAACGGAAGCTGGAAGTGTCCTGAAAGAGATATTGCGACGGGCCCTTAATAGAACATGTTTATGATGGGTTCCAAGAGGAGGTCGAGTAGGGGACTTCTGGTTGTGTCCTTCACAATGCTGTGCATGAAGATATAAGCAGTGTCGGCTTTTTCCTTTTTGAAAGAAATTGACTGTATGTGCGGCAAGGCTAAAGTGGAAAGGCGGAAATCGTAGCCGCTTTCCAGAAAATAGCCACTAGCAATAATCACACCATTATGGACAGCATGCAAATAGCAATCGGCGTTGTTTGCAGTTTTCATTTTCTCTTTGGAGATCCAGCTGATTAAAACATTTAAGATGAGCAGTTGTCTTTCTTCGTTAATGCTTTATGACGATAGGAATGACACTGACAACAGAGCAGGTGATGAACATAATGAATCAGAGGCAACGGTAATTGCCTAATAAATATGGTAACAATACTCATTATGATGGTGGTGGGGATGGCAGTGCAGCCAGAAACTGATATATTCAGCTGAGAGTTGGAGATTGTGTCAGCATCTCTTTTAGAAATCTCGGGCAATCTTTATGATAAAACTTTCCCAAGAACTGTTTCTCCGGGTGCAAAGATATGCAAACTCTGACTCTAAGCAGGGCTTTGTTTCCCCCTTGAAAAGTTCCTGGGCTTACAGCTGCATGTGTGCTAGTATCTTGGAGCTGGAAGCCGGGTTTCCAGGTCTTACCTGGCTGCCAGGGGAGGGGGGGCTCCAGCCCGGGTCCCTGGAGCTTCTGGTGGGCACGCAAAGCATGTGTGCCACAGTGACGTCACCCGGAGTGACATCATCTTACCAGGCACATCGTGCAGGGGATGCTCTAGCATTTGGCCAGAGACTCTGTGGTGGCCATAGAGTTTTTAGCCAAATGCTAGAGCATCCCCCATGTGACGTGCCTGGTGCAATGATGTCACTTTCGGGTGACATCACACTGGGCACATTAGGTATGACAGGGCTCTTCAGGGGTGGGGCTCCTCCCATCAGCCCCTGGCTGGTAGTGGATTGGGGCCCCCGCAAGCAGGGGGAAACCCACCCCCATTGAGGGGATGGCAACCTCTGGAAGTCTTCTCTGTCCCACCCCTAAGGGTCTAGCCTATACTTATGCCATGTCCAGGGAACATGGGTGGGGGAAACCCACCCCCATTGAGGGGATGTCAACCCCTGGAAGTCTTCTCTGTCCATCTACTAAGGGCCTAGCCTATACTTATGCAACAACATGTCCAGGGAACATGGGTGATTAGCTCCAGAGTTTGCTTTAAATGGCAAATCTCAGCCCCCGAGTAGGTGAATTATTAATACAAAAGTTCTCAGGAGGCCTAACCTACAAAGTTTGTTCCACAACATCCCAAAGACAAGTAGGAAAACCTTTAAAGAACCATTTTAAGGATGTTCACCAATGTGTTTCCTGGCACCCCCTTGCTTTCCCCCAAAAACAAAGAGGCAGTCCTGGCTTTCCTGAGTCTCATAGGAGGAGGAGGAGGTGCGGTGGAGTCTTGTGAGCAAAACTTCTTCCTTGTGAGCTACCTGCATTAAGGTTGTGAGCGAGCGATTTGGCTACTGCATAAATTCGTTTGCTCTGGAGCCACCCTTCCTGAGCAAAGGCAAAAATGTATGAGCCGGAGGCTAAAAAACTGTGAGCTAGCTCACACTGACTCAGCTTAGAGGGAACACTGCCCAGGAGATATCTTTTTTCTTTTCTTCAGAGAACACCTATTTGGAAAGCATGGGTGGCACAGAACCTCCCAGTATTTTGTGATTGGCCCCAGCACGCCATGGTGGAAGCCATTTTGTGGTGGTTCCTCCTGCTACCTGTTCCCAGAATGCCCACAAACTCAACAAGGTCGGGGACTGACCCTTGATTTGAAGAACAGCAGACGCTACCAACTAACCAAGTCGTGTATCCGGACTGTACTATTCATCTGTTCTGTTGTGGCAACAGAGCTTCTCTCCCAGCTCCACAGGTAGTTTCTGCTGTTGAAAAGATCCTGTTGAAGGTCATAGAATGGCTCAAAGCCAAAAACACCATGTCCTTGCTCAACACTCACTGGTCCTCATGGAAGAAAACTTGAAGGGAAAAGGTGTCCCCCCCCCTCCCAAAAATATGCATTTTGCAGCAAAATAACTGCCTTATCTGTAATTACTGATAATTCACCGTCTTCATTCTGATTAAGGTTATTAACTGTATTCAAGCAGCTTGAACTTCCCTTTGTTCTTTTCATGCTAGCTGATAATAGCAATCAAACTAATTGCTAATCTTCTGTATGCGAAAGCAAAACCACCCTGATTTGTTCTCCTTTGCAGAAAGTGTATTCTGACCTTCCGGAAACTTTGGGCAATGAGTTTGATTGGCCCCAGTTTTCCCAGATCACCGGATTTCTGAACTCCACCATTGGGTAAGCGAATAAAAACAAAATCCTCAGAAATGAGTGAAGGAACGTAGCGAAAAAGTTCCACATTCAAATGGAAATGTAGAAATATCGCTGTAACTTCTTTTTATGTTCTGGAAGGTTTCCTCTGCTTCAATCGGAAACGCGTATACCGTCACATAACACTGCAAATCTTGATTTGTTTTTCCAGGGTTTTTAGTAGGGTATGAATAGCGGACATTTAGTGGGGGTCATTTGAGGTTGTATTATATCTATTTTCAATCTGTAATGTTTTCATTACTAAGCATAAACCATACATATTTTAATAAATAATGTTTGTTAAAAATGGCTTAATCATCCTCAGTATTTATTTATTTATTTATTTAGACTTATGCCCCGCTCTCCCAGCCAAGGGCAGCTCAGGGCGGCTTACAACAGAATAAAACACACACATAAATTTAAATCATCCTAAAAACAGATAAAACATTTCAACATTTATAACATTCTCACATCCTTCCTTATTGTTAGGCAGAGGTCATTTCGGGGGGAATCGCGGGGTATCGCAGTTCCCCCGGGTGAGGTACGGGGGGCACATGACAAAGCCCCGCCCCCTGCTTCTGGCCACCCCACTTCCGGCCCTCATTCAGCCAGGATGAGGCAGGAGAAGAGGGAGGGTAAGTTGCTTCCTCCCTGCCTCTCCCCACCCCTGCCTGCCTGGGGCCAGGGAGGGCCTTCGCGGGGCTTCCTTGCACTCCCGCGGGCCTTGCAGGTCCACCGCCGGGCCCCTCATGGGGCTCGGCAGTGGAGCTGCAGAGCTGCCGGCGGCGGCCGGGACCGTTGGGGGTGGTGTGTGTGGCCTTATGACACACTTCCGGTGATGTCAGGGTGTGTGGCATATGCTAATGAGTTATGCTAATGAATTCCCCTAGCTCTTTTTCTACGAAACGACCCCTGTTGTTAGGCCTAAACAACATTTGGTGACTGTAGCAGATCCATCTCTTCAAATGTGGGTCTGCCCCAACCACATATAAAACTGGATAGTGATGTTGGGTTAATAGTCCCAAAGTGACATGCAAGTGGGGTATGCTTATGAATTTTTACATTGTAATATTAGACTGCATATGTTTTGTTTGGAACGTGTTCAAATAAACATGTGTGGGCCATTGTGGTATAGTGATTAGAGTGTCAGACTAGGGGCTTTTTTCTATTTCTTGGTGGGGGGGTCTGTTCTGCATGTGTTTTGCTCCCTCTGGTGGTCAATTTTCTAATACGCCGGTTTGTGTCTGGCAGATCTCCCTGCAGATGTAAACTGCAGGTTTTTATGCTGAACATAAACCAATGTAATATCAAATTGACCACTCGAGGGCGCAAAACATGTGAGACAGAAAAAGCTCAAAGAAACAGACGCTTAAAAGCAAACTGAGAATGCAGAAAAGCCCTAGGAGCTGGGATACCTGGGTTCAAATCCCCACTCTGCCATGGAAGCCTGCTGGGTGACCTTGGGCCACTCACACCCATTCAGCCTAGTCTACCTCAGAGGGTTGTTGTGAGGATAAAATGGAGGAGAGGAGAGCCATATAAGCTGTTTTGGGCCCCCATGAAAGACAAAGGCAAGATATAAATGAAGTAAAGAAATAAAGATGGTGATCACATGAAGTTTGAAGGTTTGACTTGCATGTGTGATCACAGATTAAACAGTGGAAATTTTATCTCAGCCATTTGATCTGATATATAAAAAATTGGTTCAGTTGCGGTAAGTCACGTATTCAGTGTCCAGTCACTGAGAGATCAAGGGATGTACATGCATGTGGGAACCAATCCTTTGTCCTACTGGTTCTGAGTGATTCTGAGTGATATTGGCATTCCTTGCTCTGTCAGTCTTTTAATGAACCCATGTGTGGCATCGTAGTTAGTGTTGGGCCGGACCATGTGTGTCATGAAATGTAATTCCAGGTAGCGGAGATATAAGCTTTATAAAGGAGACAAACACAAAGGGTTTTTTTTTTACTTAAAATAAAAACATGCTTAAAACATTAGCACTCTTGCAATATTTTGTTTATTTAACAGTGTCCGATAACTGACACCTCTTGCTCTGAATTATTGCAACAAAATGTCTGTGCTGTTGCCATCTTGAGTATGCTGTTCAGGTGTGTATCTGTAAGCTGCAAACCTACGATGACGCAGCAGCAGCAGAACTGGAAGAAGCAGCAGAAGACAGCCAGTTCCACTGAGGGCCTGATAGAAGCCCTCCGGGGGCCTCATCCGGCTCCCGGGCCGCATGTTTGACACCCCTGGGTTAGAATGTCAGACTAGGTGGACAAGAGAGGCCTCAGTTTAAAGCGCCACTGAGGCTTATCACTCTTTCTCAGGCCCAAACTACAAGTTTGGGTTTTTAACAAGTCGGGTCCAGGTTCCCTGCAGCACAGAAGCCGTGGGAAATGGCTTTTACAAATACTGAATACTCCACATGGAGCAGCAAAAACAGGGAAATAACTCCCCCCCCCAGTGCTGTTTCAACCTGGGAAAATGACTTGGGGGGGAAGGCAGGAGTCCTCCCTCACCTTGCAGTGGTGTTCTGAGCCCATTCGGGCTCTCCTCTATTTGTTAAGAGTCATTCCCTGCAGCTGTTTTGTGTCTGCAGGGAACCGGAGTTGTGTCTGGGAAACCTGGATCCAAATGGTTAAAAACCCAAATGTGTAGTCTGGCCCTCATCCTGACATTCCTCAGAGTGTGGCTTTGGGGATAAAAATGGGGGAATGACAAACCGTGTGTACCTGAGCTCCTTGGTGGAAGGCCAGGAAAGAAATGTATAGGTTACAGCAGGCATGTCCAACTTCGAACAGGTAGTGATCTATCTTTTCCGGCCAAAAGTGCCGGTGATCTACCACCATGGAAATAAAGTTTCAAATTAGTTTCAAATTAGATTTTAACCCACTAAAGTTGGGTTCCACCGCCCCCCCCCCTTTATAATGCACCTTCTGTCTTTTACTGGTAAGCAAAATAAGCAAAGACAAAACAGAGAGACAAAGTTCTAGAAAGAACTGTCCAGCAAACCAGGAGACCAAGTGGGACTGGTGATCTACCCCTGACCCCTCTGCGATCTACTGGTAGATAGCTGGGTTATGGGATTCCTGTTATGGTCTTTTAGTTCTTAATAGAACAGTGTAAGCCATTTAAGTTCCCATTGGGGAGAACTGCAGGTTACTGATTAAATAAATTGATAAAATCCTGGGTAATTTATCTATATATCTAATAGCCAAGTTGCCCCCGGAGTGCGGATCGCTAAATCAGCGCTCCGGGGGCAGCTGGGGGGCCGGGGGAGGTTTGTGCACACGTGGGCCAGTCCCCACGTGTGCACAAAAATAAAAAAAGTTGAAAAAAAATTCGGGGGGATGTTTAAATCCCCCCGAAAGTGCAAGAGCGTCTCCTGCACATGCGCAGGGGACGCTCTGGAACGTCGTCGCCACCGCCGGAGCTGGGGGGTGGGGAGAGAGAGAGTGCGAGGTGCCTCGGAGACGGTGAGGGGGGGAGAGCCGGAAAGAGACGGAGCC